CCGAATGACTTTGTCTACCCGAAGATCATCGCGGTGATCCGCAGCGGTCTAAAGCCGAGGAAAATCATGCGCTTCCTGCTCAACAAAAGGACCGCCCGATCGTTCGAGCAAATCCTGACCGATTTGGCCAGCCTGGTGAAACTTGACTCCGGCGTCGTTAAGAAGATATTCGCTCTCAGCGGAAGGCCCGTACGTCATCGTCGTTTCTCCCTATTGTTTCGATATTCTTGCGATATTCGAATCACGATACATTCTCTTCATTTTTGTCACTCTACTTTTCACATTCTCATGGGCTGGGCTTATGGCTCAGGCTGAGGTCTCACGATTTATCTCTTGACGGAGTTTCTTACTGTACTTTCGACGCTTTCCTGATTATTGAAATATTAACGATTTTCTCCTTTAACTACGGATTCCGGATTTACACGCCTAAAAGTTAACTGACACTTTACAGTGCTACTGCCTCAATCGCAGCCGGATACCAGTTGCTAAACTAAGTTGTACTGCAGTAATACACTGCTCCTTTGCTTCTAAGGTAGCTCCATTGTATTTAGCAGTATTTTTTCTTCTTTTCTTTTTGTCTACTTTTTCCCTTCCCTTTTCTTCTTTTCTCCACTTCTTTTTTTCCCACAGTAGACCCCGCAATAAAGTTATAGCACTTATTCCCGTTGATTAATAACGATAAGATGCATCAGGTTCTCATTTCAGCTGAAAGAAGTAAAACGAATAAATATCGATTTACTTTGCTTTCTCCAGAAGATGTGTTCCATTAGGTGAGTAAGGTGTTGCCTGCAACTGCACAAATGTTACAAGAATGTTCACTTGTAGGATGCATATGTTTTCGCAAAGGTCTGGATAACCGATCTAGCGGGATACCAGATTGACAGGCAAGAGATGTATTAGAAACCATGAGAGATGATCTTTAGTTTTTATAATAGGAATAATTTATTAGCGCCTACTGAGCTGAATCTTTGTCTTCAGGAAAATCAGGTATTCGAGGATGATGCCGTTCAAACGGACATCAGTGCCAACATTAAGTTGCATGACAGAACAGTGGCATAATGAGAGGCAAGGGTGAAGGATGCCTGCATTCCAGCGGTTACAAGCGCAGTCTTAGAGTGCGATGCGCTTCAAACATTCTCCTGTTTCAGTGAAGGCTTCGCATCTACTACGGCCGTGTTATGCGAACCTTAGTCTATAGCAATACACTCAAAGTTGGCACAGTTTTACTGCAACATTTTTTTCGCTGAATCCGTGGCATGTTGTGTCACGATGTGGCAATCCCGAATCTGCTCAGGAAACGCAGTTATGTTGCCTGTCTAGCGAGGCACCAGAAAAACTTTTGCTGGTCAGCAGCTGGCCGTCATTAAAACAATGTCGGCTGTCGATCGCGCTGATTGAAATTCTTTACAAAAAATCGTATGCGACATCATTGAATCAATCACCACATCAGTGGAAAGAGATGGTGACTGTTTATGGAAAATAATACTTCCTGCTTGGCTCCTGTATTAAGAAGAGGATGAGAATGGCTTCGGGGGAACGACTTTGGACATACATGCTTCGCGATCAAATACACCTGATTTCCATAACAACATTAAGGATCGATCAAGGAATTATGCCGTTAATTCGAACGATTTAGCTGTTCACTTTGTAGTCGTTCTCTTTCCCTACGATTATTGCTACAACGGTGTGAAA